GCTGTTAAATGGCTGTCGAATTTTGTCAAAGTTTGTCAATTTTTGTCGAATTCTGTTGAATTTTGTCAAATATCGTCAAAAGTCTTGAAAGTTTCAAAGTGGACACTATTTAGTTTTTTGGTTCAAATCATAAAATCTGTTTACGCCGAAAGTGAAAAATATTTTAACGAAGATCCATGGAAATATTATAGTGACTCGAAAAAAATAAAAAATAGGAAAAAATTGTAGAATTAGAGGACACTTGCATTTTTTTGATCAAATTTAACGGTTCCTTGGAAATATTGATCAAATTGATAAAATTCGAGAGAAACTTATAGGATGACCTAATAAAAATTTCGCCAATTTACACCATCCCTCTATCTCTACTTTAAAGGCGACTTTCATCCCTTCAATCTCGAAGATAGCAGATAAAAAACATACCTGAGACCTAGCATATGCCAAAATTTCATAAAAATCGAAAATAATCAGCTCGAGATTCTTCCCTTGCTAGATCCTCGAACAGGATAATTTGGCTCCTCCACTTATTTCTCAATTCTTATTTCAACTCACGTTTCATACAATTTCTTTGTAATTACATTTCCCCCCGAAAGAATCAAAATATTAAATCTGATGTTTCTCAAATGAACGAATTTCTTCGATCCTTTCTCCAGCCACTTCCGGTGATAAGAGGACGTTGCTGGGAGAACGCGGCGCGTCGCAGCTTCTTCTCACGCGACAACATGGAGAACTTCATCCAGTTCTGCCGACGCTTAGGCGTCCACGAGAATCTCCTCTTCGAAAGTGACGATCTTGGTAAGTGTTCCGTACGGGACAACGGTTCCCAAAAAATCATAAAACGGCCCTGACCGAGCCTCGACGCAGAGGATTAACGGGACCGTGATTACTGTACCGAACGGCAGTGCAACACATTTTTTACCACCCATTATACCTATCCTCTAATTAGCAACCTGGGCTTTTCCTTCTCCGGATTTTGGGATTTTCCAAAACTCTAGCCACCTCGACCTTCCATCCCCACTTTCACCCTTTCCCTATCCTCTTGCAAATATCCCAAGACCAATCACCGAATTTCTATCGTTCCAATATTCTACCCCCAGATTTTAACCCCGCCTACACCAACTCTCATCTTCCTGTACTCCTCCAATTTTTCAAGCAGTCTTCCTCCGAACACCAAACGACACACTCAAAAAACGATCAGCCGAGACTTGTACCTTACCAATAAATTAAATAAAACTTGTACTCCGGATTCTCGCCAGTTTCTCAGTACAAGACATTCCATTCGTCGTGATCCAAGTCCCGTATTCGTGGACCGATACGACACCGCAGTAAATCGAGTCGCCTCGTTTCTCTCCGAAATCCCTCCAATTCTACCAGTCCAACTCTCGTTCGCCTCTGTGCAAATTCAAAGGAACGTAATCGTGGCGAATTAACCGCGTTTCTCGCGATGGAATAGATGAAAAGGAGCAGCTCTTTTTCTCCTCGCACGCGAGCAATTTCGAATGCCAACGGGGGAAACAATACGGGCGAAGCAAATGGAGGACGGAAGTGGAGGAACTTCGGGGTTGAGCAAAAATGGTTCACCGAGTCACGTGTCGAGGGGATATGGCCGCGTTGGATGTTTGGGAGGAGATGAAAAGATGTGGTTCAGTGATGCCTGCGAGTGGATCTTTTCATCTGATCCTGCCATTTCTTCGTGTTTTATTACCGACGTGTTGATTGCTGTATTAAATCTGCAGTACTGTGGCGTACAGTTGCGCGCAGAAATAGTCGGACATTGATCAAACAAAGATATTCAAGATGTATGAATAATATTAAAATACACGAATAATAGGAACATTGCGAGATGTGTAACGAAGAGTTACCCTTTTATTTTCTCACGAACGGGGGAAACAATACGGGCGAAGCAAATGGAGGACGGAAGTGGAGGAACTTCGGGGTTGAGCAAAAATGGTTCACCGAGTCACGTGTCGAGGGGATATGGCCGCGTTGGATGTTTGGGAGGAGATGAAAAGATGTGGTTCAGTGATGCCTGCGAGTGGATCTTTTCATCTGATCCTGCCATTTCTTCGTGTTTTATTACCGACGTGTTGATTGCTGTATTAAATCTGCAGTACTGTGGCGTACAGTTGCGCGCAGAAATAGTCGGACATTGATCAAACAAAGATATTCTAGATATATGAATAATATTAAAATACACGAATAATAGGAACATTGCGAGATGTGTAACGAAGAGTTACCCTTTTATTTTCTCACGAATAATTGTAATTCCTTTGAAATGCGGAATTTTCTGAAGTTACAGGAAGTTGTCGCTCTTGATACCATTTTTTTAGGTTAGGTTTGTGGTGCATTTTTCTAGTCTGCAAAGTAATAATTGTAATTCCTTTGAAATGCGGAATTTTCTGAAGTTACAGGAAGTTGTCGCTCTTGATACCATTTTTTTAGGTTAGGTTTGTGGGGTATTTTTCTAGTCTGCAAAGTAGTAGTTGTAATTATTTTGCAATGCAGAATTTTTTGAAGTTACAGGAAGTTGTCGCTCTTGATACCATTTTTTTAGGTTAGGTTTGTGGTGCATTTTTCTAGTCTGCAAAGTAGTAGTTGTGATTATTTTGCAATGCAGAATTTTTTGAAATTACAGAAGATCGTCACTCTAGATACTATTTTTGTAGTTTATGGGGACAAAGCGAACTTGTGAACTTACAGTCTGCAAAGTAATAATTATCATTCTTTTGCAAGGCAGAATTTTTAAAAAATTAAATAGTGGCGATGCGAGAGTAAAAATAATTTCAAAGTCAATTTTAACTTGTATCGTGTATTGCAAATCGAGTTGGACCAAGTTTCATTTCAGCGTAAGCACACCGTATACAGGGTGGTCCAAATTTTTTTCTGTCACAGAGAATGCTGTTTCAAAGGATCTCCAAGTTAGTGACCACAGAGTTTTTTCTAGGTCCTTTCTTCAAATAAGTTTTCAAGATTTCCTTCAATATTTTTATGTATAAATTTTATATATAAAAAATTGCTAGCTAATAGACAAAAAAGAACAACTATAGGGTGATACATAAAAAAATTGAACGTGACAAAAGGAGACAGAAAAAATCTAAGGTCCTCACCTTAAAGATACTCTAAAACTATATACCCTATGACAAAAAAAATTTAGATCAATCCACCAACAATCGGACCACCCTATACGTACACACTCCTACAGTTCGTCATAACTTTTATCCTACGCAAAGACGCTATTATTATTGCCGTAATAACAGCACTCGCCAGATATTCCTACCAAGAAGGAATACACACAGCACGTCCGAGGATTAATGCACATTTCTATTAATAATGCACATATCTCGCGTGTAACGCGGCGTCACTTAGCGGCTGTACACTACAATAACTGAAATAGAGTGAGCCTAATGCTTAAGCCCTGCAAGTTAGAGCCGGCGGCGAGTGTGGGCAAGCAAAGCCGCACGACTCGCCCGCGGAGTCCTACGGCTCGATACAGCCAGACAACTATAATGGCTCTAGCCTCTCCTCTAGCTTTTCGCCGTCGTTTTGCAGCGAACTCGTCGCGTTTGAAATTGTCCCGAAGTGGAACGGGAACACGGGAATGTAGATTTTCGTGTCATGGGTCTGTTTGTTGGGCTAGAAACCAGCGAAATCAACCGTCGTACGGTCATTAAACGTCCAGCGGGGAAGCTTTTGTCTGTTTGTGATCCACGTTGGTCCATCGGGGAGAAACGAATCGGTCGAGGTAGCAGTTTAAGTACGGATTGAAAAGCTCGGATGTTCTTTGAATAATCAAACTTCAAGCGAATCTTCATCTGCAGTAGGTTTCTTTGTGGAAGAAAAAATATGATTGAAAGAAGAAAAAAGGTAGAAATGACGACTCTTAGAATAGCAGCTGAAATTTGCTCGCGGTAACAAGTGTAATACGCCTGTTTCAGCTATTTTAACGAACAAATAGGATGAACGTTGAAAAGTGGGTTGAATTGATCAATTATGGTTGTGGGAGTTGAAGAAGGTCGAGGGTGTCGTCGTATGCGCTCTGTAAATAGAATCTACATTTTTTCTTTCACCGCTCGTAAAGAGACTCGTTTGTTAACTGTCTTACTACTTTATGGGTCACCCTGTAAATTATAACGCGACAAATGGCACATAGTGACGGTAACGCGGAAAGAGACGCTGCAACGTTGAAACGTCTTGAAATATGTAACAAATTACAGGACGTACATTGTGGTAGAGACGGAGAAGTTTTTGTAGAAATATACAGGGTGTCCTAATTGTTTCCGATGAAACTTTGTCGGTGTATTCTATGGGCGTAGTAAAGGGGAAAATGTTATATGAACATGGACCGTTTGAAGCTTTATTAAAAAGTTACAACGAAATTAGTTCGTTATCGTTCTCTTTGTATTTCTTATTTTTGTTGTAACTTTGTAACGAAGCTTCCAACCACCTATGTTTATATAACATTTTTTGCTTAGGTATATCCATGGAACGTACTGACAAAGTTTGGTCAAAATGAATTAGGACACCCTGTATATTTTTCCATATATCTAACATATGCTTCACTTGTTACACTTCAAATATGACGATCTTCTTTATTATCCATAAATAAACGAATGAATTGGTCATCATGCAAATACTATCTCGCAAATTACCATAAATCAGTCTAAACTTACACTACAGCCACTTCAAGCCAGATAGATGCCTAATGCATACGAAGATTGCCATAACTCACTGCAACGGAAATGAAGATTTACCGTGAAATTCGTTTGAATCATATTCTACTCTTGCTGAATTTGAAATTGATTTAAAATAAAAAAGACTTGTTGCTCTATTTTCGATCATACAGACGTACGATAACCATAATTTCACAGTTCTTCACGGACAACCGCGAAACGTGGTGCTCTGCTTATTGGAGATGGCTCGATTGGCGTCGAGATACTCCGTCGAGCCACCAGGACTCGTGCAGCTCGAGAGGGAAATTGCCGCGGAACAAGAGCGGGATCTTCATTGCCTCTCCGATAGCGGTATATCTCACAGCAGCCTCGTTTCTTGGCAATTTCAATCACCGTCCCCGACCGCAACGCCTAGACCTCCGCCAGAGAAGATCAAACACAGCAGGTACGTAGGAACGAAGTAGGATACGGGAGAAAATAGAATTATCAACTTGGTAATTGGGCAAGAGGAGATAACTCTTAGGAGATAAATTTTGGAACACGATGTGTAAGAAATATAAATCGAAGTAATTTCACTTCCAAAAACTGTTGTGCAGTTGGATTGTATACGTTGGTAGTATTATTTTTGGGTGTGAACGAGTAATTATTAGTTCGTTCGATAGAGTTGTACAAATACTCGCGAGTTGCTCGAAGCCATCGCTAGAAATTTTCTCTTCCAACCCTTCAGACCTGACATCGGTGCACTGTATCGATTCACAAATTTTCGAAGCTTATACAGAACGTTGTAGACTTTGCTGAGAAATCACAATTCTTTTTCGGAGTTTGTACAATCTGGAATACATTTGAAAATCGAGAAAGAAGCGTGTTACATACTGTGGGGTTTGAGGAACTTGGAGAATGTGCGCGTAGAAGCTAATTTGTTTTTTTACAACAGGAAGGAGATTCTTGTGAGTCAGTTTGCATAAAAAGATTTGCACGTAATTAGGAGTTCTTGTACAGTTACTCTGAAAAATATTCGGTCTCTTGGCAAAAATGAATAATTCGAATATTCATAGCATAATTTTCATATTTACACATTTAGAAATATTGCGAATATTTTTCCTTTAAAATATTAAAATACAAGAGAATAGAAATGGAAGAGATATTGAAATACAACTTTTTCCATATTTTCTATAAACATTTGACAACACAATTTTCATATTTAAATATTTTGAAAATCTTAGCAATATTTTTCCTTTAAAATATTAAAGTACAAGAGAATAGAAATGGAAGAGATATTGAAATACAAATTTTTCCATATTTTCTATAAACATTTGACAGCATAATTTTCATATTTAAATATTTTCAAATATTGCGACCATTTTCCTTTAAAAATATTAATACACAAGAGAACAGGAGTGGAAGAAATATTAAAATACAATTTTTTGCAATGGTTCTTTTATCAGTGTCCGAGTATTTTCCGGAGTAACAGTAAACGCCAAGGAGGATCGCGGATTCACCGCGAGGTAGAAGGACAAAAGTGTCCGCTGTCTGAAAAAGGATTCGCTTAATGGGCGAATCTGCGAGGCGTTACGTTCTAAGAACGACAGCGCACGCTTCACCTCGAGCGTAACGCAATGCCGTAGGAGTGGTTGCGTTTCGTACCGTGAACAGGGTTTACGGTATTCGAAGTCGCTGAAGATACAGCGATAAAGGCCACTGAAGCTCTCTTAATTACCGCTGTCGCGTAAATTTACTCGAGAAACTCGTTAACGATAACGATAATTATTCCGTATCGCTGATACACGCAATTCCGTGAAAACTGGAATGACAAGCGGAGTGAAAACTGGAATGAAAATTGCAACTAATACGAAAATTAATTAATCGGAAAATTTTCCTTACGAAACTCCTCTCGGAAGAGGGAAAACAATTGTACAATAGCGAACAATTACTCATTGAGGTCGGAGGTTCGAATGGTTCAAGGTCGCAGTGAAAGAAACCTCCGTACCGCATCGCACGTTACAAAACTCTGTGAAAGAAATGCGAATAACGAGATGCAAGAATGAAAGGGAAAGGCGAGAAGGATGAATCACTTGGAGAAGAAAGGTAATTATCGCGTAACAATGACAGATACACCCAGTCACCGCACAACTGTGACACCGAAAGAAAGCAACGATTATGCACGCGTTAACCTTAAACCTGCGGTGAAAAACAAAGTGGCCTTGAACGATTCGTAAATCTCGTTGACCTGTATTCTATGGATACTTCAGAGAAGCGTACAATAGGAACCTTCGATTGTATATGCGAAAAATCGAATATTCGATGACAATAGGGTTACAGCGGTGGACTCTGAAGTGAAGAGGCTGTTGGAAGTTTGTAGTGCTTAAAATTTAGGCAACGAGAGACAAAAGAATCGATTTGTCGTGTATACAGTCGAGGACACTCTTCGAAATAGAGTAACTCTTTTAGAATTGGGCCGAAAAACTTGAGCTTTTTTGAGAAGTTAGTATTAGTCTACTGGATGACGTGTAGAAGAAATTTGGAGAAAAATTGCAATTTGTTAAAAAAAATTTTATACGCGCCATCTAGTATGCTAATCCTTCTAACTTCTCAAAAATAATCAAGTCGTTAAGTTCAATTTTAAAAAAGTTATACTGTTCTAAAGAGTGTCAGAATATTAGTAAGAGTCGCCGCATATATATGTGTATAAGTTGTTCAAGTCGATTGTTCTCCAACCCAATTTCGCTGGTATATCCCGCAGCTCAGCATCAGAAGTCGCGTTGACGGCAACAAGATGGTTGGATCCTACCAATGGCGTGACACACGAGCCGGAGATGAGAAGGTCGGTGAGCGACAATGGTCCTACGGGCAGCGATGGCGTGCCCAGCGATACCACGGAGGACGACTGGTCCCGCGGAAGCGCGGAGGACCCCGACGAGGTCCCATCGCCGTCGAGCTCACCTTTGCCCTCGCCAGCTGAGCCGCCGGAACACACGGGCCCCATAACGGAACTCGATCGCAAGGTACGCCGTGCTTCACATACAATATATTCAATTTTATCCAATAATCTGTATCTTCGAGGTTTCGGACAATAGTTCAGTTTAATTGCGAACTAGAGGAATATTTTACTGGTCAGTTCGTGACTATAGACTGTCATCTGTCTTTATGGCGTTGTTATAAATTAATATTAGAATTTTGTTACGAGAAAACTACTGAAGTTGTGGTTGCAAGGGCAGCAATCCAGGTCATCAATTACATTTCGCCAATTCTAGTATTGGAAGCTGGTAATAAAACAAATACGCGCTCCAATTTCGACGACAGAATTCCCTATTGTCCCACAAATCATTCACGCAACCACAACCTTTCACAAGCTACCCACACTGACCTGTCTAATTACTAATCACAGAAGCAAGCGGTTCACCCTGGTAGTCGAGGGCTCGAATAAGCGTGCTCCTCGAAAAAAAAAAAGTTAGCTACTCTACGTAAGTGTAACATCGGAATTCCCTATTGTCCGAGAAATTATACACGCTATTAAATTCTTCTTCATCTCCACGTTACATCGACCCCCACGTAACCAATTACGCAACGAAGCATTTCAGTTTATATAGCCAGTCAAGGGTTCAGACCTCTGAAGAAGTTCGTTCTGTTGTATGTATACATATATATGTGTATATACATATACGCAAGAAACGCGAGGTAACATTGACCACGAGCGTGTAATTTGCCCTCGTGCACACGCGAGCTATAGGTGCACGCGTGTGCCGCATCGCGTCACGTTCGCCATGAATGACGGTCACGCGGTGGGAGGAAGAGAAGAGAGGGAGAATGAGAGAAACAGAGAGAATGAAAGTGAGAGAGGGAAGGACAGAATGAGAGAGAGATTCACAGAGAAAGAGAGAGAAGGGTGGGAAGGAGAGAATGAGAGAGAGAATCACAGAGAAAGAGAAGAGGGAGAAGGAAAGAGAGCATGAGAGTGAAGGGAGAGAATGAGAGAGAGAGTAAAAGAGAAGGAAGGATAGAATAAGAGAAAGGGAGAGAAGGTGAGAATGAGAAAGAGAATAAGGGAATCACAGAGAAAGAGAGAGAAGGGAGGGAAGGAGAGAATGAGAGAATCAGAAAGAGAGGGCGGGAGAGAGAGAATCAGAGAGAAGGGAGAAAAGGAGAGAATAAGAGAATCACAGAGAAAGAGAAGAGAGAGAAGGAAAGA